TGAATTTACTGAACCTTACGGTTCTGGCTCCATGTACATTCTAGTGAGCATCAGTGCGGCTCCTATTCCACCGGCAAGTCAAAAGAAAGTACATTATGTACACACCCATGGGCCATGGCTCCTCCCCTCCCCGAGTGGACGGCATTGATTACTTCCCTCAGGAGGTATGTACCACCCCTTACCTCCCCCCCCCCCTCTGATCCGGCCTCATTGACTATTCCTGAAGCTGAACCCATGCGCCTATTCCATATGCTTTGACAGACATTATATTTCACACATCTAGCCATCAATCCTCCAGCTCAACCATCCCTATAACCCAGACTCCTTCAATTCACTGCACCACCTTTGACAACTTGAGGAGTTTTTCATCCCAGACTCATAGCACCTATTGTGTATTGTGCTATTCTATAGCCTTAATCCCGTTTCCTGTTTGATGGCACCTATTCTATAGTAGTCTTGATCCCGTTTCCTGTTTGATGACACATAGCACCTATTGAGACGTTTAGCAAAGATTGCAATCACTTCAAAAACGAACTGTTGACAGACTTCTGATATTAAAAACAATGAGGCCGGGGGGTGGGGGCCGGGGGGGATTCCTCAGCATCTCAACCCGGATCGTGCTGGAGCCGTTAAGGCCTGAGCTGGAAACCGGGTCCAGCGTCCCTTTATCTGCAACTTCACAAACTTTTGGAGGTAAAAAAAAAAAGAAAAGAGATTACCCATGGACCAGGAATTCGCATGAACTCTCTCCCCTTCCATAAAAAAAAAACTAACACAGCAGCAAAAAGTAAAGAGTGGAAAAACACACTAGGCTGGGATAGTCCACAGACAATGAGATGTGCGACCAAGCTCCCAACGGAAAGTGTAACACAGCAGGCAGCAGGTAGAAGCATCGCCAAGCAGACAACACAACATATGATTAAACCATTAACTAGATTGAAGGGTTCTTCATGCACAAGGAAGAAGGATGCAGCACATAATTAGCTGCTGGTAAACAAGACATCAAAAGCTCAAAAAAAAAAAAAAAAAAAAAAAAAAAAAAAAAAAAAAAAAAAAAAAAAAAAAAAAAAAAAAAAAAAAAAAAAAAAAAAAAAAAGACACCAAGAGTTCCAAACACAATTATACCATACTGCATGCAACATTCTGAGAGTCACAGTTCAGTGCAGCACAGAAGAGACGCAATCATAGGGGACAGACAAAGTCAGAAATATGATTCAATTCTCGCATGTTATCAGGGCCGACCTCACCATTGATGATAATAGTATAATACCCTTACATAGCTACCACCCTTCAGAAAAAGAGAACACACGCACACACAGACACACACACACAAAAAAAAAAAAAAAAAAAAAAAAAAAAAAAAAAAAAAAAAAACCAAAAAAAAAAAAAAAAAAAAAAAAAAAAAAAAAAAAAAAAAAAACAATCCACATATCAGATCGCATATGGGGAGGAGGGCATAGAGTGAAGAGACAAGGCGCACCATCCAGAGAAGTAGTCATTAGAGTTCCGATTCCGAGCAGCATGAAGAGTCATTCCTTCGGCATAAAGAGACCGAAAACCGAAGCGTCCATTAGCACCACATATGAGAGTGAATATGCACTCTGGTGGGCATGTCGACGACTTCATGTTCATGGCTGCACCCGACGTGTTTTGATATACACCAAGCTCCCACCTGCTCTCTCACACACAACATAATCATTTCAGCATTTGGCACGTAGTTCGTTAACAAGCTTTCTACTAATCAACCATATCCACAATCAAAATCACTCAGCAGTGTTTTTTTTTTTTCTTCTGAACTATGCTCAGTCTATGTACACTGTACAGCCTTGGGCACTTGTAAAAAAAAATAAAAATAAAAAAAATAAAAAAATTGTCCATCTATAGAGCCAGATTGATACGCGGAGCCGACACAACGGAATCAGACCTGTGACCTCGGCCATAACAGCCGGATGCCCTGACCACTGCAACCGTGACCCACTGAAGCCAGATGGATCACGAGTTTTAGCCCATCCCAGCACGGTTGCAGCACGGACTTATACATCAGCACTTAACATTCAAGAGATCATCTGCAAGTGGCAACCTCCATGCAGACACCATTGCGCAGGTATCCTCCCCTGGTAGATTACTGCGCTCGTTCACTAGTTAACATTTTGTCGATGTTGAGCCAGATCGGGCCCGTTTGAAATAAAGCGAAGTTAGCAAACCCATTCTTAAAGAGAAAAAAAAAAAAAAAAGTAAATAATAAAAAACTCGAGAGCAGTGAGAGTCTCTTCTGACAACAAGAGGCGCCGGGTGTTCATAGTAATGAAGGTTCCGTTTCAGATGCAGCAGTTAGAAAGAGGATTGGAGATAAGCGGGCTGAGAGACTGCTAGGCGCACACATCCAATCATTGAAAAGCCCCAAGCCAACTCAATCATTGAAGATCAAGATTGAAGGGCTTTTCTGCATCTCCACACAGAACACATCCAGATTCAGGAGCTTCATCCAATGGAAACTCGCAAAAGGAGACTGAATGGAAGAGCAAAAGCCTTTGGGGGTTATGCAGCAACACAAGAGAAGAACAGTCGAATAAGGTAAAACAGGAAAAAGAACAGCCATTTCATAGACATTTTATATTTCTAGAACTTGGAAGGATATTGAAACCTCTACCTATTTGTTTCGTCCTCTCTTTTTTTCCTTTTTTTTTAAGGGCAATAACCTTGAGATCTAGCTACAAGAGTGGCCCGGGACCACTTGCCGGGCCGGACCAAAAATAATTAAAAAAATATATATATATCGTCAAATAGAACTGCCCGGTAAACCGTAGGCAGAGAGGGAGAAGAGGACAACAAACGAGGGGCTGTGACAAACTGTTTCGTCGGAGTTTCGCCGACTCATCAGGAGGCTGAACCCTCAACAGTCTGYAGAATCCCCTCACTGATTACACTGTAAGTGATAATCCACCTTAACCAAAATCAAAGATGACTATCACTCACCCACACCAGATGTATATATATATTTTAAATTTGGTAAGGAATTTCGATTTGACAGAAAACACAACACCCAAAACGCTTGGCAAGTACATCGCCTATAAGCAAAACCCTAAGCCCTAAACCCTAAACCCAAAAGGCTTGGCAAGTACATCGCCTATATAAAATATCCGTTTACCAAAATGGCTGTTACAGAGAAAACACAACACCCAACCAGGATAACTCCGGGTTGAATTGTGAGGTCCCCGGCCTCAATTTGACCTGTTGTAATAAATGTTTGCTTTTGGGGGGAAAAAAAAACAAAAAACACAACACTGGGCGATAAATTTGGAACGATACAGAGAAGATTAGCATGGCCCCTGCCCAAGGATGACACTCATAAATCCGAGAAATGGTCCAAAAAAGAAGAAAGAAAGAAAAAAAGAAAGAAAGAAAGAAAGAATGAATGAATGAAAAAAGGAAAGAACAAAAGAGAAAGAAATAAAAAGAACACCACAAAACAATGATCACGTAAACTTAGCAGAAAACGTGAAGCATACACACCTCCCATTCTGACGAATGACAGCGAGTCGTTGGCCATTCGCGTAGAGGGTTACCAGCGAGCCGTTGGTCAGCACAAGAGGTGTCTGTGGCTCATCTGCTGTTCCCTGGGCTTTCTGCAAGATAGATGGTGTGTCTTGAAGCCACTTCGATGGCGACCCAGATCGAAAGATTGCCGATTTTTTTCTCCAGTCTTCTGCATCATCCAAATCTAGCTCCTCACCCTCTCCTTGCCCAACCCTCCCAACACCTTCCCTTTCCCTCCGCTTCCTTCTTACCTCCGGGCTCCGGCTCTCCTCTGGCTCAGGCTGAGGGCTCGCAGCTCCCTCACCCCCCCCCAACAGTGCTCCTTCAGTCTGCGCAACCTCCTCCGCCTTCAAGTTGTCATTTTTGTGATCATATTCTGCAAACTCTCCCTGCCCAACTTCGTCAGCAGCTCCCGACCTCAGTCCAGGAACCTGCAAAGCGGCAGGGACCGCTCTATTGGTATCCCTGTCAGACCCTTCGGCTACCAGGATGGTACCCAATCCAGGACCCGACAAAGTCTCTGAGTCAGAGACTAAATCCCTCACAGCAGCTGTGACTTCTCCATCCACCAGTGTTTCATTCAGATCGTCAACGGCAGATAGAGTGGAGCGATGCCAAGCTCTCTGCTTGGGAGAGGATGAAAGGGAGAATCTGATCCCGTTCAGCGACGATGAGCGGTGGTGACTGGAGCGTCCTCCTGAGGACTCCGATATCACCGCCTCTTGCTGACCGTTTGCCTTCCTTCCAAGGCCACGTGTGGCACGAGATAACCGATCAAACAGGTACGAACCCGACCGCGAGCGCGACCTCCCACTTGCCGAGGGAGTAGGCGCCGAAGACTTGGGCTTCATAACAGGCGGCGTTGGAACTTCACTGTCCTTCTGGAGGTTCCCAACACCAACACCAACACCAACACCAACACCAACACCACTGTGTTGAGGGATTCTATTGGCATCAGCCATAACGAGGTGCCCTGATGACCCTCCAGAACTCCCAACGGCATTGCTGCCTGCCTTCCACAAATGATGATAGCCCTTGAGAGGGCTCTGCACCTCCTCCTCTGCAGTCTCCATGGCAAGCTCTCTCATCTGGTGGTCGAGCCCAGAGGATGTCCCCGGATCACAAGTCAGCATCCTCATGGTCTCCGCCTTCAACAACAATCCTGCCCCTGCCGCCCCCTTCCTGTCACCTGCATTAAGGCTCATTGAACGCAGTAGCCCGCGGGAGCATTGTGATGTGGCGGCATCGACCCCATTGGAGGTAGTCAAAGAGGTGCACGTTGACTCACCGATGATTGTTGCTGATGTAGTCTTGCCACCCTCAACACTGCTGGACGTACAAAGACCAAGGCTGTCATCGCTAGACTTCTCAGCCGTCAAGCAAGTGCCCAGAAACCCAACCCCAGTTCTAATGCTAGGCGTTCCAGACGGACGGCCACTTGATTTTCTGCCAGCGCACGACTGAACAATCCCTAGCCCACTTAGCCCACTAGTTGATCGCCGTGGGGTGTACAGACGCGATCGGCCGGTATCAGACGAGGGCACCTGGGGAGAACCAGCGCCAGTGTCTGAACGTATAACTGCAGCATTATGTGAGGCATGCTGAGATGCCTTAGACGGTGAATCGCCAGGCGCACTGCCTTTCTTACTGCTGGTGGAATTCAGGGTGTCCGCAGCAGGCAGTGGAGGTGGATTCAAAGACGAAGGGTGACTTGACAGAGACTTCGACCGCACATGGCGGAATCTTGGCGCCAGGGAAATAGATAGCCAAGACGTTCCCCCTCCCCCTTTTGAGGAAGATCGACCCGCTGTGCCCCCACTGAGCCCAGCATTAGTAGATACTGGCAGAGGGCCAGAAGAGGAGATTGCTGCAACGGTACCTGACTGGGACGACCTATGCCTGGAAGGGAAAGTCATTCTTTCTCCCAACAGCTACCAANAAAAAAAAAAAAAAAAAAAAAAAAAAGTCTCTCACTGAGGAACAGCTACATGCATATCATTCAGGACTCAAACTTGCAATAACACTCTTTTTATTTTATTGAAATTTCGAAGTTTGAACGCTTGAGCTGTTTGTTGATAACCCCATTTGTACTTAAGACTTGTGTTTATCAAAAGCTATATGTCTGTACCAGGGAGGGAGGATTTGAGCTGCTGATCTGCTTATCAGTAGCTGCATGTGTGCACCATGCACGACCAAAACAAAAGTACTTCGAGCTCTTGTAGTGCCCCCTATAATCTCAAGTGGGCCGTCTGTTCCCTGTCACCATCTTCTGAATCGCATTGTGATCATCAGACTTCCACACCGCACTGTTTTTCGAAATTTTTGCAGCAAAACCATACTTTGGGGTTCAGGGTACTCGGGACTTCTTGGACGAAACTTCAGAAATTCCTGTCACCCTCTCTGCATGCCTACCCTACCAGTAGTAACTGAGTCTGGGTCGACTTTTGCCAAAGGTTAAATAAAAATGATGTGCCGTCCTCTTGCATGTGGGATCGGGCATGTGTGCTTGTGGGTGCGCGCAAGTGGAAAATCTGCCCACTTCCCAGTACCCCCTCTATCACTCGCCTTCTTCTTCTTCTTCTTTCTCAATGGTCGTTGTCTTCTTGCATCCCTTCATTTTCTCAGGTGCTATTTTCATAACAGCCAGGCTTTATATTTGTTCATAACACCCGGCGGGTGTCATTTTCAGGTGAAGATGGTGGTACTAAGACGGGGCTGCAGGCTGAAGGCACGAGGTGCACCCTGACAGAGCTAGAGTTTTTTCTCCCCAAAGGGCCCAAACATAATAGGATGTTTATCCTTTTTAGTGTTCCTCCAAAGGATTGGAAACATTATCAACACACATTCGAATATAACCCATACCTTTTGATTGAAGAAGCACAATTGTGTCGTCGGCATTGGCCTTGTCAGCAACTGCATGCATCATCTCTGCATCGTGTTGCTCCCTCTCTTCCCTAATCATATCCCTTAAATTTTGCACCTGCGAGGATATAAAACACATTCCCGCACCCACCGTCACCCATGAGGGGCAAAACAAGAAGAACACTCACCCCCCCAAGAGCACAACCGTTTCTCTCTCTCTCTCTCTCTCTCTCTCTCTCTCTCTCTCTCTCTCTCTCTCTCTCTCTCTCCTGTCTCTTATACACATCTAGATGTGTATAAGAGACAGGACAAGGAAGAGAGAGAGAGAGAGAGAGGAGGGGGGGGGAAGGGGAAGGGAAGGGGAAGGGAAGGGGAAGGGAAGGAGGGAGTGAAGGAGTGAACGGGAGAGAGAGTGTGTTCTTGTCTATCGGAAACAACTGCAAAATCTAATCTTTGCGATGGAAGAAGGCTGAGAAAAACGTATCAAAAGATTCAAAACATCAAAACATGCCCATAGGCAGAGTAAAATATATCAAATCATCAAAACATGCCAGTGCACACACATGTACGAGCTAAGCTTCTGTCAGATTTACAGGGGAATGGTTGGTGTGAGGACAATGGATGAGGATTTCTGAAAGCAGAGGGACAAATCTTCAGTCTTGCATAGACTACTACTACAGATGCGACTTCTTGGTTGGAAGGATGTTCAGAGACACTCTGCTAATCTGCAGATAGTCTAAGATAAGTGCGTACCCCTCGCTGCAGCCGGTAACTTAGTCTCTGTAGACTCAGTGTAGAGTCTGTACTCCACTTTCTAGCAGGCATTCCTACAACTGCACTTGTTCTGCGTTATTCATGGTTTATTAAACCACCAGTACCTGGCCCAGCTATCGGCCGCGGAAAAAAATAGAGTAGAAACGTTTCTAGTTGGATGAATTTGGGCGCTCCTGTAGTGGCCCGTACGTTTCCTAAAATCGCGTAGCGTTAACAGGCACGACTTTAGGAAGTACTGGTGGTTTAATACATCCAAAGTTTCACAAAGTCCATTTTCTGAGAGACTCAGTCCCATCTCAGTGAACTACTGGATGTGTGACTACTGGGTTAGACCGGTGCCAGGCCGCCCACCCTCTACTCAGCATCAGGCCACCGTCTGCTCAGCTACATACATCTAGGTACAGCTTGGAAGCGGAAGAGGAATCGAGCGAACAAAAATATGAGCTGCAACTTCACAGTCTGTAGAGTAATATAACCGTCAGTATCAGGGGTTGGCCGTTCTCTAGGTTGGACAAAAAAGCCTATGAGAAGAGTAAAGACTCAAGAGTCATAGCCGTTTGTTATTCAATGGGGTGTTTTTTTTTTTCCAACTGTTTGGAAATAGCATTCAGTGCTACGCCGTTATCAGCCAGCCCAGTCACTACAATCACCGGCCTCTGAGAAACAGGGATGCAAGAGAGTGCCAAGCCACGCTCTATCAACGACTGCACCCCCTTACACTGTGGGCAATCTGGAAGAGACACTGCAGACAGACGATCGGAGCACAAACCGTGCCGCTGGCAGTAGCGTGGGAAGGCCTCACCCAAACCTTGCAGACAGCGTACCATTCGGACTGGCGCAGGGTGAGTAAGACGACCCCACTAAGAAACAAGACATCATCGACAAGTTCACCAGGGAGGTGTTGGGGAGCAGGAAATTGGGGGTCATAGGAGGCGGCACCCCCAGGCTTGTCTGGAGAGTGCAGTCGGGTCCCCAAGGACACACTCACCTGGCAGCAGCCGCTTCATCAGAGACTGCCAGATCCCAGGACTCCGCCACCGACTCGGCCCTTTTCCACGCCTGAGTAAAACTCAGGCGGACCCGGAGTAGACAGATTAGGTGTTTAGGTCTTAGGGGGTAGATGGGTCCCCAAGGACACACTCACCTGGCAGCAGCCACTTCATCAGAGACCGCCAGATCCCAAGACTCAGCCGCCAATTCAGCCCTTTTCCACACCTGAGTAAAACTCCGGCGGACCCCGAGTAGACAGATTAGGTGTTTAGGTCTTACGGGGTAGATGGAACCCTGGAAGCAGCAGAACCCAAGGAGAGCTTCAGGCTGGCCGTCCGGCCACACACGGACCTCCTATAGCACAAGCCAGACAGTCCAATCCCCAGGGTTTCCTGGGGAGCCACCACCCTGCAGCAAAGAACAAGCGCCGTCCGGATGGGGGACCCCTTTTTTTTGGCTCCAGACTGCCAATCAACACCGGGAAGGACAGGGATCTATGGTCAGGCTAACTTAGGCAGGGGTGAGGGGTGGCACATCCTTCCCTGGGGAAGTAATGAATGCCGTCCACTCGGGCCTCTCAACCAAAATCGGGAGGAGCGTGTGTGGGTATTTTTGTAATCGTTTCGGACTTGCCGATGGAAAAAAAAAGAAAAAGAAAAAAGCATTCAGCATGGCAGCCAGAAATGCAATTTTGCATTTTCACATCCCACTTGCAGGATACGATGCACTCCTTTATATGGATTTTTTGTTGGCAACCAAGCCACACTTTGGCAATTGATGCACCTTATGGAGCTGATATCCTGATATACCCAAAGGCTTAGTCTCTCCATCGACAGATCTATCTGGATTCCCTGCTTGTGAGCTGAGAATCTGACAGACATAATGCACATGTGGTTTGCAACCACGGCGCATTTTTAACATTGCACACTTGTCATTTATCTATTAGTCAAACTACTCAAATTTCAGCAATAGTTTGCCAATAAACCTTTTTTCTTTGGTGATACAGACTAAGTTGAACTGACATCGGGCCAAAGACAGACTAAGTGATACTCACCAAATGCGCAAGATGAGAATGAATCTTTGGTACAACATGGAAAGATGCACCGCCATATTTTTTTGTCTCTTGAGGAGTGAAGCCCATCATAAATAAGACTCTACACACAAACACCTAGTTTTCCGACAGACCTATCGGGGTTTATCACTTGGGAGGCGACGGTCGGAGAGAACGCAAATGGTCCTGGCCCCTAGGGGTTACTACAATGGGGCGTGCATGGTAGTTCAATTCACACTAGTGATAATTTATGGTGCCAGAGAACATTTACGGAAGCGCCAACAATGCTCATTGCTCACCATTTGACAGCTCTGACAAACTCATCATACCGCCAAAGAAAAGCAGAAAGCCAAAGACAAACACCGAGCTACACAGGTAGAGAGACACACTACCATCTTCAACCGAATAGAGTGCCCGGTCATTATAGCCGTATTTGGGGCAACTCTCAGTCCAGGTGCATCCATAATGACCGGGTGTTCTATTCAGATGAAGAAGTTAGACAGAGCACCATTTGAGAGCTCTGACAAACTCGTCATACCGCCAAAGAAAAGCAGAAAGCCAAAGACAACACCCAGCTACAGGTACAGAGACACACTGCCGTCTTCACCCGAATAGAGCGCGCCCGGTCATTATAGCTGCATGGGGCAACTTTCAGTCCAGGTGCATCCATATTACATAACGACCGGGTGTTCTATTCGGGTGAAGAAGGTAGACAGGTAGACAGAGGCAAGGAGTGAACCCCTCCGTGTCAACTGTTTTTCTTTTTCTTTCTTTTTGGATGCCAATCAATTTTCAGTAAAGACATTTAGGAGAAAGCCAATGGACAGAGACTGGCATGCAAGTAAAATAGAGAGGCCGTTAATGGAGGCCCTAATTTTCAGACAACTTGTCATGCCACTTATAACAAAATCCAAGGGTAATTTTAACCCAACTTGCCACCAAGTCATAGAGTAGAGACCATAGTTACGACGTGCAAGAAAAAAACCGATTTTTTTAAATAAAAAAAGTTAAAAAAACTATAAAACAGCAAGGCAAAAGTGCACTTTCATGCAAATTTACTATGTGTTCCGTCCAACTTCAACGACCTACCGTAACAGATGAGAGACACAGAGACCCATACCTGAGAGTGATCATTGAATCCCACTTACTCAGAGCAGAAGATAAGCAACACTGTGCATAAGGAAGAACGTCAATGACATCAACCACTCGCGAAGAGAAAAAGGGCCTCACTCCATTACTCACCAAATGTGCAAAATGAGAACGAATCTTCCGCTAGACCATGGGAAGATACACCACCATAGTTTGTCTTTTCTGCATGTGGAGGGAGAGTAATGGAGCGAGGCCTGTAGAAAAGAAAATGAAGAGAAGGGTACATCTTCCAATAACACATTCTTTTTTAATGCCGTTAGCCGCAAGTTTCCCGTAAAACAAACAGGAAAAAAAAAGAGGTCACCAAATACCAGGGTTCTCAGTGATGATCTTCTTTGCTTCCATATAAACCGTCATCCTGCATGCAAGAATCCAAGCCTACCTGTCTGTCGTAGAAACCGAGCTCTGTAGGAGTCTGACATGCAGCACGAAAACATACTGTTTTCAGACCAGCCTAAACCAAATTCTCACATTTTCTCCTCCACGATCAAGCAAGGATTAGCTCTGAATGCTCCGCGTTGAAAAGAACTATCGGAAATCTAGCTGACTTATTTGCACGACCTGTGGAGAAAACACAATTACTGAACGTCCTATAGAGCCGTGCACATTTCAATTGCCGATTTGGGATTCTTACAAACTACTGGACTCAAAAACTACCCTTCGGATAGTGAAAAGGGAGCATGGGATGGTCTTGCACAAACGGTCTAAGCTTGGCAGCCTCAAAGCGGCACACACACACACACACACACACACACACACAAGTGGAACCTTCTGTCACTGATTTCAAACACAGAGAGAGAGAGAGAGAGAGAGA